GAATCCTTTCTCTTCTGTTGAACATTATTTTCGTTTGTAAACTGAATTCTGTTAGATATGCTCTGATGTCGCCCATGTTAGGGTTGATAGTATGGCCAGAGGCCATTGATGTTAATTGCATGTAGTTATCTTGTGCATACTGCCTGTTGGGATGTTTAAGTGTGATTTTAACAAGTTGAGAATTTTGGAAATGTTCGTTTTTCAGGATAGACTCTGTCGAAATTTGGGCAGAAAGTCTCGTTTCTTTAGTGAGTGGGCCCGGCATCAGGACGATGTCAGAACTTCCGGATTCGGAGGAGTTCGAGGCGGGTCCTGTCATTCGCCTCGTGTTACTTCGAACGGATTTCGTTGGTTCGTCACATTTGTTGATGATTTTACCCAACTCACTTCGGTTTTTTGCTGAAAAATAAACATGATGTTGCTTCCATCCTTCCAAAGTTTTGTACTATGGTGTCTACTCAGTTTTAAGCTCGGGTCAAAGTATTCCGGATTGATAATGGAGGAGAATATGTGAATAATACTTTGGCTTACTTCTTCCGTGTCAAAGGTATTATTCACCAAACAACAACCCCTTTTACTCAACAAAATGGTGTGTCTAAAAGGAAGAACCGACAATTTCTTGAAGTTGCCCGCTCACTGATATTGGATATGGTTGTTCCCCATTATCTTTAGGGCCATGTTGTTTTGTCTGCTGCCTATTTGATTAATTGTACTCCTAGTCGGGTTCTTGACTTCAAGACTCCGCATGATGTGTTTGGTAAACTTGTTTCCCTTGTCTCCGTCTCCAAGTTGCCTCCTAAAGTTTTTGAGTGTGTTGCATATGTTCATGTCTACTCTCATCAACGGAGTAAACTTGATCCTTGTGCTTTGCGTTGTGTATTTATTGGCTACTCTTCTACTCAGGAGGGTTATAAGTGCTATTATCCACCTACCCAGAAGGTGCATGTTACTTTGGACATGACTTTCCATGAAGAAGTGTCTTATTATGTTTCTCCCTCTTTTTCAATTCAGGGGGAAACGGGAGTGAATTGGAGAGTCTTGGATTAGAGAATGATGTGTTTGAAGATACTACTCTCGGGAAGAAAACGATTAGTCACACTGAAGGAAACGATCGGCTGCCCATATCTGAAGATGAACATGTGGTCTCTGTGAAGAAACGACTGGTCGCCCTTTGGAACTCGACCGGTTGTCCATATCTGGAGATAAAGCAGGTGCTCTCTGTGACGAAACGACTGGTCGCACTGAAGCAAGCAACCAGTCGCCTGTATCTGAAAATAGTGACAGTGATTCTTGTATGGATAAGCTCGATACAATAACCCCCTCTACCCTGCCAGTGCCCCATTCTACTCGTGATAATGAATTAAGTGAGGTAATTTCTAATGATCTATCTGTGTCAACTTATCAATTACCCCCACGAACCACTCGTGCAAAACCTAAAGTACAATATTCTCCTTATATACATGCCAAGTCTAAATATCTCATTAGCCATTATGTGTCAACTCATCTTTTGTCTAAGTCATATGCATTATATTTGTGTCAATTATCTAGTGTATGTATACCAACTAAGCTGCAGGATGCTCTTTTTGACCCCAAATGGGTGGATGCTATGAATGTGGAAATGGAAGCTTTGAACAAGAATGAAACTTGGGATTTAGTCCATTTACTAAGAGGGAAGAAAGCTATTGGGTGCAAATGAGTGTTTACTATGAAGCATAAAGCTAACGGTTCCGTTGACCATTACAAGGCTAGATTGGTGGCAAACGGTTATACTCGTACCTATGGAGTGGATTATTTGAACATCTTTGCTCCAATAGCAAAGCTCAATACTATGCGTGTGCTCTTGCCCCTGGCTGCTAATCATGATTGGCCCTTGTTACAGTTTGATGTAAATAATGCGTTTCTACATGGTGACCTCAAGGAAGAAATATACATGGATCTTCCTCCTGGTAATTCTTGTGACCTCCAAGGAGGGTGTTGTGTGTAAGCTGGAAAATCCTTATATGGATTAAAGCAGTCTCCAAGAGCATGGTTTGGGAGGTTTGTAGCATCTATGAAAAAATTTGGGTATGTGCAGAGTAACTCATACCATACTTTGTTTCTAAAGAGTCATAAAGGTAAATTGACAACTTTAATTATTTATGTTGATGATATGATTGCAACTGGAGATGATTAGGCAGAAATGCAAAATCTTCAGAAGTATCTGGCTTCCGAGTTTGAGATGAAATCATTGGGTGATTTGAAGTACTTTCTTGGAATTGAAGTTGCCAGATCTAAACATGGTATCTTTCTATCCTAAAGAAAGTATGTTTGAATTTACTTGCAGAAACTGGAATGTTGGATTGTCAACCAATTGATACCCCTAGTGAACAGAATCATAAGTTGAGGTTGTATCCTGATCAAGTCCTTACTAATAAAGAGCGCTATCAACGACTTGTGGGAAATTGATTTATTTAGCTCAGACACGTCATAATATTGCATATGCAGTGAGTGCAGTGAGTCAATTTATGCATTCTCCTAGTGCAGTGAGTGCAGTGAGTCAATTTTGAGGTATCTGAAAGTCACTTCTAGTAAGGGGTTAACGTTTTCCAAGTATGGTCATACAAATGTGGAAGGGTATACGGATGCTGATTGGGTTGGTTCAGTCACTGATAGACTTTCTATGTTTGGGTATTTCACATTTGTTGGTGGCAAGGTCTAAAATATCGATGGTGTATCGGAAATATAGGTAGTCCAAAAACACGGAAATTTCGATGAAAATATTGGGATATTATTAATATAGATAAAAATTGAATAAAAACCACGGAAATTGTAAGAAAAACTTGGAAATTTTTATTGAAACTTTGGAGGATGTTTATTTAGTCAATTATCTGTTAGTTTATCACCAAAAAAAAAAAGGAAGGAAATTCATTGCATGATGGGTTTAACTAATTTAAGTTGATTATATAGCGAGCTGACAAACACTGTAAGTGTAGAAAATATGTAGTAATTAATGAAAGAAGAGTAAACACATCATAATCATTTAAATATAACGATGTACTACAATATTTTACACTTTATACATTGCATGGTAGGATACATGAGTGACTATGAGGTTCAAAAAATTTCAGTATCTTCATCATCTCTATGTGTAGAGTAAGTGTATTGTGAGTAGTCATCAAATGATAAATCCCCAAAATAGTTTTCCATATAATTGTTAACATGTCACCCATATGGATCCAAGATTAGTTGACGTTGTCCATAAGCAAAATCATTTGAAGATTGGGTTTTGGATTCTTCCCATGTAATTGTTAACATGCCACCCATATGGATCCAAGATTGGTTGACGTTGTCCATAAGCAAAATCATTTGAAGATTGGGTTTTGGATTCTTTCCATGAGCCACTCGATTCCATCCCAAAAGGAAAGGTCAAAGACTCACATTCTCATGTGAAAATCTAATTCTTGCAAAAACAGTTCAAAACAAAACAATATAAATATACATATTTTAGCATATTATCACCAAAAAAAAAAAAAACAACATGATGGTTAATGCGTTGGAGGAGTGAAATGGCACGGGTTTGAATCCCCTTTGAGTGCGTGCTTTGTGATTTTTTTTTCTTTTTTTCCATTACATCGATATTTTCGATATTATAGCGATATTTTGACAAAATATTGCTGAAGTGTGAGCTAAATTATCAACATCGATATTTTCCGATATTATCGATATTTATACGATGTGTATGGATACATTCCGAAATATCCCTGACCTGAAAAAACGATAATATCCTCGATATTTCGTCCATATTATCAATATTTTAGACTATGGTTGGTGGTAATCTTGTTACTTGGAGGAGTAAAAAGCAAAAAGTGGTGTCTCGGTCTAGTGCCGAAGTCGAGTATCATGGGATGGCTCAAGGTGTGTGCGAGTTACTGTGGTTGAGGAGATTGTTGAGAGATCTTGGGTTTGGGCCCCAAAAACCCATGGATTTGTATTGTGATAACAAAGCTGCAATTTCGATTGCTCATAACCCTATGCAACATGATTGTACAAAGCAGGTAGAGGTTGATCGACATTTTCATTAAAGAAAAGGTGGATGTTGAGATTGTTTCTTTTCCGTTTATATCATCCAAGTATCAACTGGCATATGTACTTACGAAAGCTGTGTCTACTACTATCTTTCTCAACTCGCTTGACAAGTTGGGCATGCGTGACATCTTTGCTCCAACTTGAGGGAGAGTGTTAGCGAGATCCTAACTTAATTAGGATATTTATTTCCTAGTCTATTAGGACTCTATTTCTTTTCTTTTTGTACAGATATTGTGTAATTAAGATTTTATCTTATTTCCTTGTATAACCCTACTAGGGTTACAACCTTGTATTATAAATACCTCCTTTTGGTGAATAAAATATATCTAAAAATATTCTACCCATATTGTTTGACTTCAACTGCACTACAGAAATTGTTGAAGTCCCTTGTCGGTTGAAGGCATATAAAAGTATCAAGTCAGTTCCCCACTCAATTCACAATGGTTTGATTCATTGGTTAGATTACGTGGTGCTATGGTGTCGATCGATGGTTGAAGGTGGTGGTGTCTGGCGGTGGTGGCCAGGTGTGAAACGTGGCAATGATGTCCCCAACCAAATAGGCTTAGGAACAAAGTGGTAATGTCCTAACATTTCGTTAAGCATTGGGGCCAGCTGACAAGAGACGTTTGTCGCATATTCTATCTAAACAAATTAGCTTTTGCTTGATGTCTAAAGTAGAAAAACTAGGTCAAGTAAACAATGACCCAATACTGCAGATGGGGTCTTAGCTCAGTGGTAGAGCTGGTTGCATGCTGGCTATTGGTATGCCGTTCGATCTCCATGAAACTGTGTGAGAATACCCCCTCCCTCTTCTGTGATAAAAAAAGAGACCGAAACTCGTATTTAATGCATAATTTCCTATATAGTATATATAAAATTCACTAGTACTATACTTTTTCCTCATGGCTGGTTCCCTGAAACCTCAGCCTACTATGTACAGGAGATAAAGGGAGATACAGTACAGAGGCTTCTACATAAACACACGTAGTAGAAGAAAAAATTGGTTGAATTTCTAAGTAATTGCAGCAATAACTTCATCACCGTATGCAAACTATAAACTAGGAACTATGAATAGCAGCAGCATTTGACCTCACTAGTTATGAAACAAACATCTGAGCATTTAATAAATGTTTCCTCATCATTCCTCATTCTCTTCTAGCGATCTGCCTTTCGTTTCTGGTGTGAAAAAATACGTTACCGCCAATCCCAAAAGACAAACTCCACCTAAGATCACCAGTAAGATCTTGACTGCTTTAGGATCCTCCTTTTGACCATGTGAGGCCCACCCAAATCCAACTGCGCCAATAATGGCCCCTACCTTCCCAGTCGCCCCGGAAATCCCATGACAGGTTGACCTAAATCTCGCCGGGAAAAGTTCAGCCGGCACTATAAAAGTAGTAGTGTTTGGTCCAAAATTTGCAAAGAAGAAAGTGAGGCCATAGAGGACCATGAAACCTTTATTTATGTGATGTTGCCAATGAGATGTGTAAGGTATCCCAATTGCGAAATAAACCAAGGCCATAATGAGAAAACCCATCATTTGAATCTTGCGCCTTCCGATGCGATCGATGAAATACACAGTGAACCAGTAGCCTGGAATTGTTGAGCATATTGCAACGATGGCTTGAAATAGCGCAACATGTATAGCATCTTCATACACGTTGGATTCGTACTTTTTCCCGAGATATTTTCCGTAAACTTTAGATTGGAAGAGGTTGCTGCTGTAAAAGACTACGTCCACGAGAAACCACGAAGCTGAGCAACCGAAGAGATCGCGGCCGTGTAGGCGTAAGAATTGCTTGGAGAAAAGGGGATAGGACGGTGGATCTTGAGGCAATGTCAATGATTCATCTTCTGCAATTTGACTCAGTGAAACATCCAACACTTTCTCCATGTCCTTAGCCGCTTGTTGGACATTTAGCTCCACCAATGCGGTATATCTAGATCAAACAAAGGAATTGCTTTGTAAGTCAATACTATGTTGTTTGTTACGAAACAGAGGCATGACATGCAATTCAACTAATATGAGTTGAATATGAGTATGAATATATACTCATATGAATATGTACACACGCCTATAATATGAGTATATTAATAATACTATGCGGCAGTGTCACCATCACACCAAAAATTACCAATAGTAAAGAGTCGAGGGAGGGAAAATCAATTCAACTAATTTAACTCTAGGCTTAATTTTTATTTGTCATTGTTAATCCCTGCTGGCCTCTCCCTCCTCATCCACACATCCTACCAAGATTTTTGTTCAAAATTTTACAGCTCACATATACAACCAACCAAGATGAGACGCATAGATGTTGACGAACTCATACATATATAAATAAAATCCAACCCAAAATGTCAAACAAATGATAATCAATATAGTAAATAATTAATTTAGAGTAAATAAAAATAATTAGTTACCTGGCAGTTTCAGGCATCATCATACGCCAATAATAGGTCATGGCAGCAGGAATTGCACCCAGCATCAGTATCAACCTCCATGCGACGTCAGCTTCACTCGGAGTCTTCTCCTTGGGGTTGGGATGGGACGCTGCGTTGAAGATCCCGCACACCACCATCGTCACGATCGAGCTCGCCAAAATCCCAAACCCTTGCATCGAGAACACGGCCGCTATGAACGAGCCACGTGTCCTCTTGTTGGCAAACTCCGACATGATGGTCGCCGACAGTGGATAGTCCCCGCCAATCCCAACCCCGAGCAGGAACCTGAAGAATCCGAGACTCACCAGAACGCAGCTCCGCGAGGTGCATATGGAGAAGCCGCAGCCTAGTGCGCTGAGAATCATCACCATGAGGGACAGGCCGTACACGCGGCGCCTCCCGATTCGGTCCCCGAGCCTGCCGAAGACCAGCTGGCCAATGACGGTGCCGAGGAAAGCCACGCCGAGGAGCGCGGAGTCGACATGCCTGCGGATGACGAAGTTGTCGTCGTCGTTGTTGAATTCGTCGGTGGGAAGGTGTGGTTTTTGGTAGTAGATGCGACCGAGGAGTCTGAGGATGGGAGGGATGCAGAAGAGGTCGTAGGCGTCGGAGAAGAGGCCCATGCCGGCGATGATGATGGCCTTGAAGTGGTACCATTGGGTCCTCGCCGTGTCGAGGGCATAAAGGACTTTTAACGCCATCACTACGATGTACTAATTAAGCTTTGCTATATGCTATTAAGGCGAGCTAATTATACTTACATCTGTGGAGCTATATATATATAGAGAGAGAGAGAGAGAGAGAGAGAGAGAGAGGGTTAGAGAGAAGAATTATGGGGAGATAGGATTCAGGAAAGGAAAGTATGAGGTAATTTCGCAGAGGAAATTTGATGTGATTAAGGTGGACGGCCTGCTAATACGAGTATGTGATTCCAAGGATATGCGGAATCATATGGTTTCAACAATTAATACTTAATTTGTTTGCGTCATTTATTGTATATTTTATATATATATTATTAATTTTATTATAAATGTGACAGGTGATCGGCCCATAAGTTTGGTGTACATTATGTTTCTTCGTGCCTCTGCTTGCTTGCTCTGATATACATAAGCTTGATATGCATTGGTTTTTATTTTTGTTTTTATTTGGGAGGGCACGTGTTGGACTTTTGGTAGTAATTAATTTTTGACATTTTGTGGACCATTCTAATTTTTGACGTTTTGTGGACCTTATCGGAGCCACACATCCTAGGATGAATGTAATCATATTCTCAGTCAGAATCGTGGATTTAATTTTAGTGACGGTCATTGCCAGTTGCTATTGCCATGCTATTGAGTAATTATTTTGAATGAGTTTTGAATAAAAAGGAAAGACTTTCATGAAACGGTAATAACACTATTTTGCTATTCCTAGTTAATAGCGCTATGAAATTGTAAAACAGTATTATTTCCGTTACAACTTACAAGTAAGTATTTTTGGTCAATTAGATTAATACTGAGACTACAAGGAGGCCAGGAACGTCAGCACTGCTGCTAATTGGTACTATTTAGTGTGATGGCTTTAAAAGAAGCTGTCTCTCTCTTATCTTTATAAATCAAGTAGCAAGTTACGAATGAGAACATGGAGAGTTACTTCCGCGTGGACCCTTAAATGGTGACACTTTTTTGGACTAATCTTTCATTGATCAAGATTATTAATAGTATTGTCTGACTTAATTAATAACAATAACTGCTTTTGTCTATGCTTTCAGTTTCAGAAATACTGGACTTATACTAGCTAACAACCCAAACTTCGTAGCAAATTCCACTAAGCTGGCCCAGTAAATGTCATATCTTCATGATAATTCCAATTTTCTATAGCAAAATGCTATAGAATTTTGTTATATTTTCTTTTTTTATTGAATTTTGACTCGAAGCAAAATTTGGAGGGGTACCCAAAACTCAGCCCAAGTCCAAGTTTATATACACTGCTCCTCAACAAGTTTTGACAATTGCAAGCTCTTAGGTGAGGCTCTATCTCTTAACCGTTGGATCAAATTGGTTAGTCCAACGGTTCAGAGATAGGACCTCACTTGAAGGCCATACATAAGGCCCTCACTATAGAATGATAATTAAAAAGTTGCATAATGGATGATCTGGGTCAAAGCTTGACCCCAGATTTTGAGTTTGCAATTAATTCTTTGTATTAAACAATCTAGCTATTTGAACTTCATTATCCATTTATATAAAGTCTGATTTTCTCCTCAAACTGACTCTATGCATCACTGCGCCAATTAAAACACACTGCTTTTTTTCCAAACAAGACAGAACCTAAGAGAGTGCCCTTCCACTAACCTCACAGATTTGGAAACCTGCCTTCTCCGGGTAGAGGTACTTTGCCTTTCATAACCACCACTTCCAGGATTCCATCATGCCGGAAATAAGGAGAAAACAAACGGGGGTCAACAGGTCCAGGAAGACGGAAAGATATGCTAAATGCTCCTGGTGGGCATAGTTGCTGGACTCTCGAATGGTACACAGTTGACGAGTTTCTCAAAAGTCCAACACCTGTCATGATTCCTTCTATATGAACCTTTCCATCACGTTGGATATCACATTTTACCTTACCTGCTAGAGCAAAAGTTACCTACTTGGTCATTGCTATCTTTGACTACATTAACTCAGCATTTAAAAAGGGCTCCATGTGCAATAATAGCACTTCATATATACGCCAGCATGAGAGACATGCATATCCAATGAGAACTGAGGTAACTTACATTCATTCTTCCGAATACCAGGAAGTGCAACTCGAAAAAGGTAGGCAGCTTCACTCACGCCAATGTCAACAAGACCACTAGGAGGTCCAACATTACCTCCCTTTGCTGTTCCAATCAAAACAACAGCTGGATCCAGAGGTGGAAGATCAGCCACATTTTCCACTCCCATGCCACCAACTTTGCTTCTTTACCGTTGTGATCACTCAGATACACCTGTTAGTTTAATTTAAATAAGCAATTGGTGAAGCTTCATGAAGTAAGGAAAATCTATATTAATCAGCAGAATTTAAGTTCACATGTAATCTGAGATTTAGCATACTCACATGCAGTTCAAAAACAAGAAAATAAAAGCTTTTACGTAAACTAATATGAAAATACATAAAAGTTGTTCAATGTGTTAGTGTGAAACTATGAGTTACAGATTGAGTATGTTGAAATGCCTTGTGAAATTTATGTCCATTACAGCATATTATTTCTTCTTTTTGGTGTATGGCAGCTAGTAATTGGTGTCTCTTTTTTTTTCAGTTGTAGTAATTGGTGTCTTGACAGAAAATAAAAACGAAAAAGCAGACGAACAGATTTGAGGAAGAGTGAGAAAATCATGATGATGAAAGAAAGACTAAATAGAATACACATGAAAAAAGGTTTATAAAAAGGAGAAGAAGAAAACCCCGCAAAATGCAAAATACATGCCTGAGATAAATACCATAATAAATGTAAAATATTACATCCAAGCGAAACTGACATGAGATGAGAGCATCCATCATTAATCAAACAAGTCATTGGTTGCTCCACACTTCTCAAGATAAAACAGGTTTAGGAAGAACAACTTGTATCAGGATCCAACACTTTTCTGTCTTTGGGCTTAAGGCACCAGTAGGCTAACCATATGCTGCAATTTGTTTTTAGAAGAACCATACACTACTATGAAGACCATATCATTTCTCACAGCTGATACAGACATCTTTGGAAGGAGAAATAAAAAAGATTCAAGGCAAAATACAGCATTCTGCATTCTTGTAAAGAATAACTTGGACCAAAAAATTACATCAGGCACAACACCACTGCGGTAATGAAATTGGCTGCCTGTAGTTTGCAATTAATTCTTTGTATTAAACAATCTAGCTATTTGAACTTCATTATCCATTTATATAAAGTCTGATTTTCTCCTCAAACTGACTCTATGCATCACTGCGCCAATTAAAACACACTGCTTTTTTTCCAAACAAGACAGAACCTAAGAGAGTGCCCTTCCACTAACCTCACAGATTTGGAAACCTGCCTTCTCCGGGTAGAGGTACTTTGCCTTTCATAACCACCACTTCCAGGATTCCATCATGCCGGAAATAAGGAGAAAACAAACGGGGGTCAACAGGTCCAGGAAGACGGAAAGATATGCTAAATGCTCCTGGTGGGCATAGTTGCTGGACTCTCGAATGGTACACAGTTGACGAGTTTCTCAAAAGTCCAACACCTGTCATGATTCCTTCTATATGAACCTTTCCATCACGTTGGATATCACATTTTACCTTACCTGCTAGAGCAAAAGTTACCTACTTGGTCATTGCTATCTTTGACTACATTAACTCAGCATTTAAAAAGGGCTCCATGTGCAATAATAGCACTTCATATATACGCCAGCATGAGAGACATGCATATCCAATGAGAACTGAGGTAACTTACATTCATTCTTCCGAATACCAGGAAGTGCAACTCGAAAAAGGTAGGCAGCTTCACTCACGCCAATGTCAACAAGACCACTAGGAGGTCCAACATTACCTCCCTTTGCTGTTCCAATCAAAACAACAGCTGGATCCAGAGGTGGAAGATCAGCCACATTTTCCACTCCCATGCCACCAACTTTGCTTCTTTACCGTTGTGATCACTCAGATACACCTGTTAGTTTAATTTAAATAAGCAATTGGTGAAGCTTCATGAAGTAAGGAAAATCTATATTAATCAGCAGAATTTAAGTTCACATGTAATCTGAGATTTAGCATACTCACATGCAGTTCAAAAACAAGAAAATAAAAGCTTTTACGTAAACTAATATGAAAATACATAAAAGTTGTTCAATGTGTTAGTGTGAAACTATGAGTTACAGATTGAGTATGTTGAAATGCCTTGTGAAATTTATGTCCATTACAGCATATTATTTCTTCTTTTTGGTGTATGGCAGCTAGTAATTGGTGTCTCTTTTTTTTTCAGTTGTAGTAATTGGTGTCTTGACAGAAAATAAAAACGAAAAAGCAGACGAACAGATTTGAGGAAGAGTGAGAAAATCATGATGATGAAAGAAAGACTGAATAGAATACACATGAAAAAAGGTTTATAAAAAGGAGAAGAAGAAAACCCCGCAAAATGCAAAATACATGCCTGAGATAAATACCATAATAAATGTAAAATATTACATCCAAGCGAAACTGACATGAGATGAGAGCATCCATCATTAATCAAACAAGTCATTGGTTGCTCCACACTTCTCAAGATAAAACAGGTTTAGGAAGAACAACTTGTATCAGGATCCAACACTTTTCTGTCTTTGGGCTTAAGGCACCAGTAGGCTAACCATATGCTGCAATTTGTTTTTAGAAGAACCATACACTACTATGAAGACCATATCATTTCTCACAGCTGATACAGACATCTTTGGAAGGAGAAATAAAAAAGATTCAAGGCAAAATACAGCATTCTGCATTCTTGTAAAGAATAACTTGGACCAAAAAATTACATCAGGCACAACACCACTGCGGTAATGAAATTGGCTGCCTGTTTGACATGGTTGCTAACCTGTTTACAACAATTGATTCAAGTACCAGAACAGAATTATGATTGGAAATTTTACTGTCTCTTTGGCTCCTGTTGTTCTTTATTTGTGTTTGGTGGGGCCATATCTCACCTTGTTCAGGAAGCATGAACTATAGCACAAATCACTTTTCAATAAGCACAAAATTTCATGCTATTTTTTCATAGATACATGGAACTGATGATTTTGGAATTAGGTATTGTTTTAGGTTTTCTGATGATAAATTTGTTGAATATATACTGTTTTCTTATATATTTATAACAAACACAAGATTTATTAAGAGAAAAGACAAGATATACAAGAAGCATGGACAATTAGTTCATGAAACACCTAAACGAATAGAAGAAACGGAAAAACCCAAAGAGAAAACCTAAACCAGCAGAGAGAACACCATCCTGGAAAGCCCTCAATACAAAACTTCCCTCCAATCAAATTGAATATTTACTGTTTTCTAATAATTTTCTGAGAAAAGCTATGTCTTTGTTTCTTCCTTTAACTTCTCATCTAGGTTTTAGTTTCTTTTATGTAAAAAGTAGTTATCTTTGTTTGGTATTGTCTTTTTTTAATCCCCTTCCAGTTACACACTCATAGAGCTTTGAGGCTAAATATTATGCTTCTTTGAATATTCCCTCTTTTGGGTTTACAAGTTAAGCAAGAGAACCAAAATGGTTCCTAAAATTTAACCACAAAAGAAAAAATTCTTTGATTTCAGACTTAAGTTTCTGTATCTTCACCTCTCATGCTCCGCCACTAAACTTAATCGCAACCCAAAAGAAAAATATCCTGAGAGCTTCAAGCTTCGAGCTCTAAGAAAGATTTTCACAGTTTAAAATAACGAAAGCAACACCAAACCCTCTACTCTACTTGAGCAAATTCAAGAACCAGATAGCAAAATAATGAATCAAATAAACATTCAGTAAATGGTCAGTTTGGTTTCATGGATTTGGCAATGCATTTTGCCATCGGCCCTTACAGTGCCGAATTCACAATTGATGGATTTCAAGCTGGAATTAAATTCCAATGCCAAAGTGCCCCATATATCAAGAAATTCAAAATTCAAAATTTCTTCTGGATGATTGTTACAACCAAATCTGCTTACCTCAGTCCTCCTTTCCAGATAAACAGCGACCGCAACGCAAAGGTGCAAGCCCCAGTAGTTCAAACCCCCTCTCTCTCTCTCTCTCTCTCGCTTGCTCTGTGGAAGCTCTAATTGTAAGAAGACGATGACTATGCAGGTGGTGCACGCTCAGAAGAGGGTTTTTATATTATTTTACGCCAAAAGTCACAAATGGGTACTGTAGTTTACCGTAACCGTCATCTTAAAACATATTTAATTCTTTTCAATTTGCTAAAATTGTCATGTACCTTGTAAGTTGTAAACATAGGGATCAATCTCAATGAAAATAATCACTTACTTGTCCATATTGCTATGATTCTCTCATTTTTCTCTTCCTATACGATTATACCACAAATTGATCCTTGTAATTGTCACGTATTTTGCCTTTGTTGTTTACTTATGCCATCAATTTTAGGCCAATGTTTTTTTCTTTTCAAATTTTTAGGCATATGTTCAATGTCCATCAATTTATATAACTTGGCATCCACGTCTAGGTCACACACAAGGGTTTATAGTTTCTTTTTGTCCAATCTTAATCAGTTGGAAGTAATGCTCGTTTTCCTCCAAGTAAACCGAAAAGCTTGGTTAGAAATCCATGCATTCGATTGTACCACGAAAAAAGATAAAATAGCTACCATTTAATCAAGTAGTTAAATGTTGTTGGATTTATTTTTTTTGCAAAATCTACAAAGAATACCTAAAATAATGACAGCTCATATGGTTAAGCTACGTACATAATTTTCCTTACAAGGATGTTCTCAAATAATTATTTTACAAATTTAGTTATATACCCAATCTTAGACATAGTCTTATAAAGAAGCCCTATACCATTTAAAAACTATAAACACTTCAATTTAATAACTATTTTTTAGTTTATTTGTGTATGTAAAATACCTATATTAATACCTATATTGCCCTTGTACTATGAATTTGAGCGAGAAACATCAGATCTGCCAAAAAACCAAATCAGATTCATTTTCTCCTTTCTCGCTGGTGCTTTCTCGATGTTGGAGCAAGAGGAGCTTCCATTGAAGCTTAGTCTCAGGTCCAACTACATTCTTCATCTCTGATCTACAATTTTCAATATTTCACCTTTGATTTCTTGTTCTAAAATCATGCTTCTATTCTTCTTCTTTTTTCTTCTGATTGTTCGGAACCTTGGATGCTCCTAGCTCTACTCCTCTTTCGCCATGTCATCGTCGTCGTCGTCGTTTGGTTTGGACTTGAGATTTTTTATCTTTTGCTTCAATTATGTGTTTCTCTTCGGATTTTAGTTGATTTTCGAAATGTATTTTAAGCTTTAATGATCGATTTATCTTTTGTTACTATTTCAATTATGGATCTCATTTTGGTTTACCAATGTACTTCTATGACTGAGTATGAACAATGTACTTATATGATAGAGTATTAACAATGTACTTCTATGACATAGTAGTATTAAGAATCTGGGCTCGGCTTGTTTTTAATACTCCGCAAATTTTTTTATAATAAATTGTTTGGGCTTGTTCAAAAAAATTAGGCTCAGCTTGTTTTGAGTTGGTTTTGTTTGTTCTTTCTTCATCCTTTCTTTGGTAGACATGTATTAGAAATAGCAACATGACAGTAAACTAGCAGTGTTGTTACCCTAGACTAGAACATTACAGAGGTAGATATGCATTAGAAATAGAATGTCATAAGAAACTAGCAGTGTTATTACCATTGACTGAAACATTAAAACGGTAGACATGCATTAGAAATAGGATGTCATAGAAAACTAGCAGTGTTATTACCCTAGAATGGAACATCACAGAGGTAGATATGCATTAGAAATAGGATGTCATAGGATACTAGCAGTGTTATTACCCTTGACTGGAACATTACAGGGGTATGCATTAGAAATAGGATGTCTTATGAAACTAGCAGTGTTATTACCCTAGACTGGAAGTCATTAATCAACATGATAGTAAAGGCGTGAAACATTACAGTCATTAATCAACATGACGCGTTAATGAAGCTACGGTTTTTGAGACGTTTTGTTTGTAATGAATTGTTTGGGTTTTTTTTTATAAGATTGGGATGGGTTTGTTTTGGGTGCTTTTTAAGTTTTTTTGTGTTGGGCTTCTTTTAAGTTGATCCGTGGCAGTCATGTAATTTATAGGAACTTCAACACCAATTTCTCATGTAGTAAATGGGTTTTGGGTGTGTTTCTAAAGTGCATTCCATATGGGTTTTTTAAATAATTTCAGCTCCTATTTTGGGTATATTAGTGAAGCACCCTAATTATTTTATGTAGTGTGGTTAAATACCTTTCTTTTTAAATATGGATGTCATCATTAAACTCGACTAAACTTTAGAAAATTGCAGTCAACCCTAACATGTGTGTATATGTATATATATAATTCAACCTTAATGTGTGTATATATATCAGAGCGCTCAAGTACTCGTTAGTTAGTAAGTTAATATGTCAATAACCACTTGTTTAAGTTAACTTTAACTGTTCAATTTTTATGTCCTCGTTAAAGGGTCATCCTTGCAAATTTTATCCGAATTATCTATCATTTAGTCACTTGATTATTATCGTGAATATTTTCTTGTTTATTGAATATATTGTGTTCCTTTATTTATTTGGTAACAATTAGATAGTTAAATTCTTCTTTATTTGAGTGAATTTTTGTAGGAATGATCTTTCAAGTATGACCTAAAAAGTAAGTGGTTTGGATTATGAGATAGATTGTGGTGTGGGGTACCACGTGTAGTTAACGTCGTATTAGCTTACTAACGTGTTAGGTCTTGACCGCTCTTATATATGTGTGCATACTATATTTATCGACAACGAACCTACAAATGAAGATCTATGAGGACCTCTTTAATAAAGGCTCTTGGATTAATCCAATGGCACATATAATTAGTAGTTTTAACATTCACTAGTGCTCCTTGTTTTACTCAAACAACACTTTTAATTATTCTAACCAACAAAAAGAAAAAAAGAAAAAAAAAGAGATACAAAAGGTTGTTGTCGTCCTTCCTCCCCATACAATTGTTGATGTTTGGCTCACTTAAAGATGCAGAAGGAGTGAAGGAAACATACTATCAAAAGAGTTGCAGCAATTTGACTGGGCTCTACTCCTCGAGCGGAAACTACAGTCGCTTGAGCGGCAGAGTGGTACTTCTCGCCCAGACCCAGACCCAGGAGCTCGAGCTCCTACTGAGTGACAGTGCTTAGACTCGAGCGGACACAGGCGCTTGAGCGGGACAAGTGAATCCAGTGCGTATCCCTAGCGAATTTGGACAGATTTTCTCCTATTTTTGGAGTCCTTTAAGTTTCCTATTCCTTCCATAATTGTATTAAAGCCCTATGACATATAAATAGGCACTTTAGCGCTAAGTTATTAAAACGTGAGAAAGCTAAGGCATCAAATTGGGTTTGAGCCAAGGGTGAGGGAAAAAAGAGCTAGGGTTTGTGAGAGATCAAATGGGGTTCTTCATTGTAACCAAAAGGGTTCTTTCATATTATTGGAATTCTCGGGGATCACAAAGAGGACGTAGACACAACGCCATACCTCTATAAATTCTTGTGTTCTTTGTGTGTGTGTTTACTTTGTGGTTTCATATGTGCTTTATCTTTGTGTGGCTTGTGTGTGATAGTTGCGTACTTCATCAATAATAAGGTCTTGGAGTGTTTTCGCACAACAACATCTTCTCTCCATCATCTCCTTTCTTTCTCGCTCTTTCTTAGAAAAATCATGAAAATTTATTGCATAATAGCGTCCACAGCGGACTCTCTAAACCACTTGCTTAGATAAAATTTAGGGAGGAAGTGAGAAAACCTACCTCCAGTCATCCTCCCTATCCAATTCCTAAAATAGGGAGACCTCTAGGGGCTCCTAAATCTGAGCAGAGAGAAAGGACTCCTAATGGCTCCTTATAATTACATGATACTTTACTTTACAGTCCCGATCTCTTGGACTACAGGAGTCCAAGAGATTTGTGGTTACTACATCCAACGGTTCACTCACTCTTGCACTTCTTTTAAGAAACTTTTTTGAACCATTGGATTAATATCCAACGGTAGGTGACCACAATTTCTTGGACTCCTATGGTCCAAGAGATCAGAACTGCTTTACTTTAATGCTATTTTAAGTATTTATTTAATGCTAACTTTGTTTTTATAATTATTTTATATGAAGAAGGAGCAATTATGCTAAATAAAAAAAGAAATAAATCATTAATGATTCCCTAAACTATAGAGCATGGTTGGAATTGAAATTTTATAAGGAGCTCCAAAAATAGCTTTATAGTGTTTTTAGCTAAATTTTAACTAAAAAATAAGGAGCATGATTGTGAATGCTCTAGACTAAAAATATATAAAAGCTATTTTAGGAGATCTCTATAAATTTTAACTCCAATCATACTCTCTAGTTTAGGTCCTTAGGTGAGCATGACTCATAAACAAATATCCCACTTTTAACTCCATGATCATTTGGACTAGTGGCATCTAGGCTTCACTTTGTTGGAGGAGGTTTTCTAAGTTCAAATCTTATAGACTATTGTTGGATAAAAGAAAAACCGATCACATTCTCTCTTGTACAATTTTCTATAATTGTTGAAACCACTCACATTCTCTTTTCTCACAGACATCGGTGTCATAGGGTTCGGACATGAGACCACTCATCTGCAAGTCAAGACCCTTTTTTATTGGGCTAAACAATTGATTTAGAGGAAACATAAGGAGAAGTGCATAATGAATTTTTTGAAGTGTCAATAACAACTATATATATTGATGTGTCAATGACAGCTCTTTTTTTTCCTAACAACCAACATGACATTATCATTTTGAGGTTTACAAAATGGTTTTGTTTTGAGAGCAAATAAGTGCATATTAAATTAGGGAAAAATAATTTTGAAGAAATAGTTTTGCTCCTTAAGTGTTTTTCGATTACACCACAATCTAAAAGGAAATAAAAGTAAAGAGTTAAATTTTGCACCTCAAACCCTAGAATGCAAAATGCTGCAACATCAACTTAAAATATGCAATAAGTTATACATTGTACTCTAGAGTACAAAATCTGCAATATCAACATTAAATTCATTTCAACACAATCCAATTGCTAACTTGTTCATTAATTTTGAAAGTTCTAGATGATGTGTTGCATGTAGGCCTAGGTATGGATTGATTTGATTCGAGAAAGAACTCAATCAGTTAGTCAAACCGAACTTTCGATAGACTAAAACTCTTCAATTAACCGATACTTTATGCATGGAGTAAACTTTCGGTTTGGTTTGGTTCACTTCATATATTTTACCACTCCACATTTTTTGCTCTCTTTCTAGCTTCAATAGGCCAATTTTGATTAGTTATCCAATGTTTTCAAGCCAAACATTGAAGTTAAAACTTAACATTACATTCAAAATATCAACTCATCGCATTTCCAATCTCATTGCCAATAAAAACCTTATTATTATATGACTTATTATCAAAATAAACATATTACGACTTATTTGTCATTATAAACTTACACATACAAAATTGATAGAAAAAAGGGAGAGGGAGGAGTGTTGGATTTTAGATGTGTGGGATAATTTGTTATGTTGCAACCCACTAATGGCTCATCATCCAACCAATTCAATGTTGACACATAGATTAATACTTACTACTCTTGTGCCTTTGGACTGTTACTTGGTTACTACTCTTGTGCCTTTGGACTGTTACTTGGTTACTACTCTTGTGCCTTTGGACTGCTCTGAGAGTTACTGGATTTTGGGTTAGATCTGTGATGTGGGTCTGTATTATCTGTAATTTTTATTGTTTCAATTTGGTGTTACTACCACATGTTAGGTGTGGATTTTGTTTTACTGCTGGCTTTATGCCTGTTTAATTTTCTTTCGGACGGGATCATGATCTTCATGCTATGCCTATACCGGGGTTTTAGTTAGATATGGTCCTGTTTGGGTGCTGTTGCGTTAGTCCTTTGCGGGTGCTCCTACTTGGCCCTTTTGTTGTGTTCCTTGCCCTTTTGTGGGTTTTCAATGAATTTGCATTTCGACCAAAAAAAAAAAGACACATAGATTAATAATTAATATAAAAAAATTAATTAAGTTTGGTTCAGTACGAATTTGTAATGGTTTAGGGATTAATGTAACCAGCTCATTTAACCATTACTTTGATTCGGATTAGATTGAAAGATAATTTAATTAAAAATACTAATTTAATCAAACCAAATCAAACAATCAGTTTGCATGGGGACCCGCTACCTAACTAACATGGCAAATAAACTACTAAGAATTTAAAAAGAAAAGACAAGTAGTATTTCGTTTATTTTTCTTTTTCTTTTAATTTTTTTTTCATTTGGCATAGGTGTAAATTTGGGGAACTCAGATCTGCTGTCCTTGAAGTTACCATAGGTGTAAATTGTCACGTATCACTATACTCATGCCACCCAAGATGAAGAGTCTTCATTGGGAAAGTCTGCACTGCACTAGGACACCAAAAATGGATGAAGGATATGGCAATCCATTTTCTGAGGATTCCATGGCTATCAGTGTTGACTCCATGAATTTAGGAACTGAACGCAGTAACAACTCAAATGAAGCCTACGCTATTCTCATGGTCAATATGGTTATAGGAGCGTAATTGCATTCCCATACATGCATTATTGGGTGATTGAATATTTCTTACAGTTTCACCCAAAGTTTCCAGGTTTTCCAGCACATTTCCAACATTTCCGCCTACACTCAACAATATCGATATTTCCGTAAATTTGAGTATCGATTTTTCCGTGAAAACAGATATTTTTCATCACTGAGTATAACTAGCCACTCAAATAATGTCATGTAGAGTACTTAAAAACAAGATTTATTATTCGATAATCCGAATATGAACGAATGTTTTTGTTTTTCAAGTAATTAGACCCACCAAATACGTAGAAGCATGAAGTGTCCCGCCAAATTGTACATTTCATACCTTATGTTGATGTATGTGCAATGTGCATGCACATGCCTGAAAATGTGTGAGGGAAAGGATGGAATAGCACACTCGCTTCACCTATATCCTACCAATACTCTTTCTACAACATTTACAACATTCCTGCTAGCAGACTATGATGTTAGTGACTGGACTAGTCAGAAAATCCTACCCCTTTGTTGACCCTTGCTACATCAAGAATGTAACTCAGCAACAGATATCACTCGTCTTTTATGATAACTCCTTCAAAAATGCCATCAGGTCCAAAATTAGGTGCAAAGAGCCTTGGATCAACAGGTCCCGGAAGGCTGAACGAGAGCGTGAATGGTCCGGGTGGGCATAATTGCTGCAATTTCATTTGAAATACACGCGAACGTTTCCTTATGGGATTTCCACCACTTGTGACGCCTTGGAGATGAATCTTGCCATTAGATTCAATCTCACAATTGAATTGACCTGTTACCACAAATAAAATCAACTTGTAAATGTGAAAAACATGAACATTTAGCTGATGAAAAGAATATATGAGATATGCTTTGTGCCTAGCATGAACGTGTGAGTACAGGCTTGCACGTATACTTCATGGGTTCAAACAAATTCCCCAATACCGATCAGACCTAGAATGCGGGGAGGTGGGATAAGATACAGCTTCCAAGAGGCTTTCTTGTGTTCACCTTCTCAGGAGTGAGAATCATTAAAAAAATGCTACCTAGAATATACATCCGCCCTATATCTTGGCAGCAATGGGAACATTAACTGCATATAAACTCTGTTCCACTCGATGATGCATTGAGAGACAAGTATCCTATTCAAGGTAGAGGAGGTGCCTTAGAAACTTTAAAAACATAAAGGGGACACCAAACTATAGGCATTTTAATAGCATATGTCAGCAAGAATAAATGAAAAGATGTAACGAAAGGAGAACGTACAAAAATCCTTCCTGACCCCTGGTAGAGCAACCCGGAAGTAATATGCAGCCTTGCTAACACCAATGTCCACAACACCAACAGGTGGCCCAACTACCCCTTTCCTGGCAGTCCCAGACAAAACAACAGAAGAATCTGAAGTACATTCTTCCAAATTAGGAACAGAGATAAGGGGCATGAACACAGGTCCATCTGGTTGGCAGGTCATCCATGAAGCTCCATATTTGCTTAAATGTTTTGATGTAGTAACAACTTGGGGAAATGCTGGCTTTGATGGAGAATGAGAGAGGCACCTTCTCTTATATTTTTGCTGAAATCTTTCCGACCAATTTCCATTTCCATTGGAAAAAAATTCTGTCTTTGTGAAATTGCAATCATCATTCAAGCAATTCGTCTTACTTTCCCCATTATCCAGGTACTCGTGTTGATATCGTATGGCTTCATCTATATCAATTTTCATGTTATTTATACCAGATAAAGATTTGAACTTTTCCAGATCGTCCTCTTTCATACATGATGTAACAGGATCATCAATAAAAAGAATCCCCTTAACAATTCTGAAGCTTTCAGGGTACCATATCTGTTCATGAAGATCCAAAGGGAAAAAATTTGTGAACTGCCAACTGTCTTTCGTCAGCCCTGAACTTGGCAAAGGTAGGCTGCCCTTCAAATACTTATGCAATATTTCTGGTCTCAAAATGAGGCTAGGGTGAACATTTCTCAAGAGATAGTAATATAAACCCTCCAAAAGAGACACACTAACATATGAAGGCCCCAAATAACTTGACATATACGGAGGTGAACCTTCAGTTATCCTTTGAAATGCTGAATATTTGAGGTTATCAAACGTGACATCAGGACCCAAATAATTGCCCATTATGAAGTTCAGTAGAAAAAGCTGGTCGGCAAACGATGGATTGACTGACGTTTTAGGAAGGTCATCTTCCATGCTTCTAGCTTATTCTTTTCCAATAACAAAATTATTGACACCCACCTACACCTGTAAATTCACCTAACTTCAGTGGATAAATAAATGACTCGAAACAACATACTAAAATATATTGCTCTTCATGGTTTCAAGATAAGAAGATTCACTGCATAGAATTTTTTTTTCTTACTTCTATAAATTTTAAAAATGAAAAACTTAACTTTTAACCGGTGGGTGCGTTTACAGTGTTAGACAATGTCACTAGGTTGATACTCACATAAAGATTTAGTAATCTTGGCTAAGAAATTTAGAGATGAGGTTTTCACATCACATAAATTAATATTCAAAAATCAGATTGTGGCTAGAGAAAAAAAAAATTCTATTTCCTTCAAAATGTAGTGGGGCCATATCTCACCTTGTTCAGGAAGCATGAACTATAGCACAAATCACTTTTCAATAAGCACAAAATTTCAGTTTGGATACTGGGTATCATATGTAACTGATGATTTTGGAATTAGGTATTGTTTTAGGTTTTCTGATGATAAATTTGTTGAATATTTACTGTTTTCTTATATATTTATAACAAACACAAGATCTATTAAGAGAAAAGACAAGATATAGAAGTAGCATGGACAATTAGTGCATGAAACACCTAAAACAACAGAAGAAACGGAAAAACCCAAAGAGAAAACCTAAACCAGCAGACAGAACACCATCCTGGAAAGCCCTCAATACAAAACTTCCCTCTAATCAAGTTGAATATTGACTGTTCCAATAATTTTCTGAGAAAAGCTATGTCTTTGTTTCTTCCTTTAACTTCTCATCTAGGTTTTAGTTTCTTTTATGTAAAAAGTAGTTATCTTTGTTTGGTATTGTCTTTTTTTAATCCCCTTCCAGTTACACACTCATAGAGCTTTGAGGCTAAATATTATGCTTCTTTGAATATTCCCTCTTTTGGGTTTACAAGTTATGCAAGCGAACCAAAATGATTGCTCAAATTTAACCACAAAAGAAAAAATTCTTTGATTTCAGACTTAAGTTTCTGTATCTTCACCTCTCATGCTCCACCACTAAACTTAATCGTAATCCAAAAGAAAAATATCCTGAGAGCTTCGAGCTCTAAGAAATATTTTCACAGTTTAAAATAACGAAAGCAACACCAAACCCTCTACTCAACTTGAGCAAATTCAAGAACCAGATAGCAAAATAATGAATCAAATAAACATTCAGTAAATGGTCAGTTTGGTTTCATGGATTTGGCAATGCATTTTGCCATCGGCCCTTACAGTGCCGAATTCACAATTGATGGATTTCAAGCTGGAATTAAATTCCAATGCCAAAGTGCCCCATTTATCAAGAAATTCAAAATTCAAAATTTCTTCTGGATGATTGTTACAACCAAATCTGCTTACCTCAGTCCTCCTTTCCAGATCAACAGCGACCGCAACTCAAAAGTGCAAGCCCTTAGTTCAACCCCACTCTCTCTCTCTCTCTCTCGCTTGCTCTGTGGAAGCTCTAATTGTAAGAAGACGATGACTATGCAGGTGGTGCAGGCTCAGAAGAGGGTTTTTATTATTTTACGCCAAAAGTCAGAAATGGGTACTGTAGTTTACCGTAACTGTCATCTTAAAACATATTTAATTCTTTTCAATTTGCTAAAATTGTCATGTACCTTTATTTATTTGGTAACAATTAGATAGTTAAATTCTTCTTTATTTGAGTGAATTTTTGTAGGAATGATCTTTCAAGTATGACCTTAAAAATAAATGGTTAGGATTATGTGATAGATTGTGGTGTGGGGTACCACATGTAGTTAATGTCGTATCAGATTACTAACATGTTAGGTCTTGACTGCTCTTATATATGTGTGCATACTATATTTATCGACAAAGAACCTACAAATGAAGATCTATGAGGACCTCTTTAATAAAGGTTCTGGGTTTAATCCAATGGCACATATAATTAGTAGTCTTAACATTCACTAGTGCTCCTTGTTTTACTCAAACAACAATTTTAATTATTCTAACCAACAAAAAAAAGAAAAAAAGTGAGATACACAAAGTTGCTGTCGTCCTTCCTCCCCATACAATTGTTGATGTTTGGCTCACTTAAAGATGCGAAAGGAGTGAAGGAAACATACGGTCAAAAGAGTTGCAGTAGTTTGACTGGGCTATACTGCTCGAGCAGAAACTACAGTCGCTCGAGCGGTAAAGCGGTACTTCTCACCCAGACCTAGACTCAAGCGCTCGAGCGGCAATGCTCAAACTCAAGCGAACACATGTGCTTGAGCGGGACAAGCGAATCTAGCGCATATCCCTAGCGAATCTGGCGCATATCCCTAGCGAATCTGGATAGATTTTCTCCTAGTTTTGGAGTCCTTTATGTTTCCTATTCCTTCCATAATTGTATTAAAGCCCTATGACATATAAATAGGCACTTTAGAGCTTAGTTATTAAAACGTGAGAAAGCTAAGACATCAAATTGGGTTTGAGCCAAGGGTGAGAGAAAAGAGACTTGTGAGAGATCAAATGGGGTTCTTCATTGTATCCAAAAGGGTTCTTTCATACTATTGAATTTCTCGGGGATCACCAAGAGGACTTAGGCCCAATGCCAAACCTCTATAAATTCTTGTGTTCTTTTTTTGTGTGTGTTTTACTTTGTAGGGGTCATCGACTCTTTGTGAAATCTCATGAGGTGCAAGTGTTAACAAGTCAGTTGGTGGCAAAATAAAATTTGGTTGCAAATTGTCAGAGTAGTATAAGGAGATTGAAAAAGGAGAGGGCAAAGACTTTGGAGGAGACACGACACCAGCTTGAAATAATGCAGGAAGAGAATCAAAATCTATCAAGGATGGTAAATTTTTACTCTAAGGACATGCAAGAGCATCTGGAGGCCTTGGATCGGCTGGGTAAACGTGCGTGAGGAGATCCAAGTTTTGCTAAACCTAAGAAAGGGATCTTTGGAAGCTCAAGTGATGAGCCCTAAGAAGCGGTGTAAGAAAATCCGAGAGAGGAGATCTAGAGGGCCAAACTAAAGTCTCCTATTGTGAAATCAAGAAGTGGCCCTGATGTTTTTTTTGTTGTTTAAAAAAAAAATTAAAAAAAATTAATGTAGTCTCCTGTTCCTCTTCTTTTTTTTTTCTTTTTTTTTTTTTAAATTAATAATAATGTTAAGTAAATATTTTTCTATTTATTTATTTTTCTAATTTTAACTACACAAATTAAAATGCTAATCATCCAACTATAAATACCCACAAGTGTATGAATCTATTGGAAACTAGGAATAAAGTAAACAAATTATTAACCAGGTAACTTGTTTAAGACGACCCAACACGACACGTTTATTAAATAGGTCGAGTTTGGGTTGAGTAGTCTTGACACATTTATTATCCTGACACGACACAACCCGTTGTCACGCTTAAATAAAGGGCGTTGAAGTTGGTCGTCGGCTGGAGATGGTGGTGTCGGTGGGCAGTGATGGCCGACTGCGAGTGGTGGCTAACGAGAAAGGGTTGCCGGAGGTGGATATGTGGCATTGTGATTGATTTAGAAGGAGTGACAATGTGTGAAATTTTGAGGTTTTTTAATTACATTATTGTAAAATTAGATGCTATATTTTAGTTATTAACCTTATTCAGATTAAGTGAAATTAAATTATTATCTACCACAAGAATAAACTCTCTTTTGAGTTTAAACAAAAGCTGCATTTATATTAAGGTATGAAAAACTGGGCTTTATTGCCAATTGGCCAAAGCAATTTGAGGAAACAAAAAAAATGGTACGAAAAACAGAGCTGGGGTGAGAGAGGCTCGAACTCTCGACCTCAGGATAACTCAGAAGCTATGAGACCTACGCGCTAGCCAACTGCGCCACCACCCCGGTTGGTTTTCTAATCGCTCCAAATGATATATTAACCTGTTAAGGGAACTAGTATCTTCATTTCTTCTTTTATGGACCTTGGTTTAACATTAACGATTAACCAACCAAATAAGTTATAGTAATTTGAACCAATGGACAGGACCACACCTAAGCGTCGCTTCAAGTCTTCCCTTTAAATTGTAGCATCTAATAAAAATGAAGGGTTATTTACTCAAATGGTCCTTAAATTTATACACGAATTGCATTTTGGTTCCTCAACTAAATTATTCTTTCAAATGGTCTATCAACTCTTTATTATTTGTCAAATTGATCCCACCGTCTAATTTTCTATTAGATTTAACCAAATTTTAAGGTAAATATGACTTTTCATAATTAAAAAATAAAAAAGAGTTAAAATTAATACAAAATTTGAAGAATTTGAAGAAAAAGAGAAAAAAGTGCCCCCCCTCCCCCGATTTCTTCTCCCCCATTTCCCTACAGACCCCTCCTCCTAACCCCCCCGCTCCCCAACTCGGAGAACCCATAACCCATCCCGCGACTCAGAACTAGTGTAACAAGAAATAAATTTGATTGCTCTATTTTCACTCAAGGACTCAAAAAGCTAGTGACTAAGGGCTCGTTCGGTAACGTTTTCGAAGAATGTTTTCTTAGAATATTTTCAGAGAATGAAAACAAGAAAACGAATTTGCATTTTCAAGAAATAAAAATGCGTCTGGTAGATTAATTAGAAAACATCTTCAGAAAACAAAAACAATGAAAACGTGTCTGGTAGTACAATTTGAAATAATAGTATGTGAGTTATTTTTATAAAAACGTTTCCCATGAGATACAAGTACACATGAACTTGTTTTCATTTTATGAAAACATTCTCAGTGTTTTCTATTTTTGGGGCACCGAACGTGTTTTTTCCTCATTTTTGTTCTTTGAAAATGAAAAGAACCCTTTAAAACGTTATCAAACTGGCCCTAATAAAAGCTTTTTATTTCATTTTTCAGTATTTATTTATTTTTAATGCATGAAATGATTAATTTACCCTCATATTTAATGACAATATTGATAGAATGTAACGGTAGACCAATTTGCCAAATAATAAAGAGTTGATGGACCATTTGAGCGGATAATTTAGTTGAGAGACCAAAATACAACTCAAGTATAAATTTAAGAATTATTTAAGTAAATAACCCTAATAATGAATAATATGGGCTAAGTAAAACTACATAGAAGAGAGAACCCAAAAATACCAAACTTGCTGGGAAGTTTTTTTCCTTGCATCAAGTTCTTTTTTCTTTTTTCTTTTTCACTCTTTTCCTTTTTCCCACCTTGCAATTTGCGATATGTACAAGTATATGCTTGGTCAATAGAACACAACACTAGAAGCAGATCGAGGGATCGCTTTTTTGTCTTTATGAACTAAAGATAGGAGGGATCGCTTTTTTGTCTTTATGAACTAAAGATAGGAGAGAATGTCCCCACCAAGCAAGATCATGCAGTAGACGGCTCAGATAATCCACTCAATGATTGCAAATTCCTAAGGAATTGACTGCATTCCCGTCAAAGAAACACAAAGGGTAAGTTGGACCGTCAAAGCCATTCATTTCAAAATGCTTGAGACTCACACACATTGCTTTGCGCAGACGGGAAGCCTAGAAGCTTGAGCTTACTCACTGTTCTGTCTCCTTATGTTAACCGTTTATTTCCTTGTTCCAGGGTATATGTCTTGTGTCTTTGAAAAAGCAAAGTATAATTAATTAAAAACAAAGCAGATCAGATCATATAATTTCTAGAAGTTTTGTCGAGGCAGAGACAGTCCCAGAAACCAAGATTGCTTTACTGTTTATTCCATCTTTTTCATGTCCCCACTCTATAACCCTCTTATATATGAGTGACTGAAAATCTCTATCTGTTTCATTCATCCATTCTTCATTGTGTTCATTTTTTTGCTCCTTTAATTCATTCCAAGCCTCTGTACATACATACACATACATACATACATCATCAGTTGATCATTTCCAGTCCAGAATTCTCTCATGGAGGTAATATTATATTGGATTCATGCATTAATATCTATTTTCTTCAAGTAATTAACCCTTTCATTTCTTGCAAGTGTAGCGGTTGTGTTTTCCCTCACAAGTTATGTTACATTGTTATATCTAATATTGTTGGTTAATTTGCAGAGTGTGGAGTTGAAGGTGGAGATGGTTGGGATACATGAGAAGCGACTTAGGAAATGCCTGTCCAAGTTGAGAGGTACCTTGTGTTGAGGAAAAAAACTTGTCTATCTCATGTTTCATATACCTTTCTCTTTTAGTGAACTGTGGTTTAAGACGAGTCAACTTCCATATAACATGTTTCATACACCTTTCTTTGTGGTATATGAAATATGCTATATATAGAAGTTGTCATGTCTTAAACTACAATTGATATATATATATATATGGATGGTAATGACGGTGGTTTACAATTAATTACAGGGATAGAAAAAGTGGAAGTAGATGCATACAGTCAGAAGGTGATTGTAACAGGATGTGTACACAGGAACAAATTACTGAAAGCAATCAGGAGAGGAGGATTGAAAGCTGATTTCTGGTCTCCCCAAAATGAGCTCCTCACTGCTTATGCCAGCGCCAGTTATGGAAGCTTGAGATTCAACAACTTCAACTTCAACTTGTTCTAGAAGATATTACAACTTTCTTCTTCTTTTTTCTTTTTTCTTTTTCTTTTTTCTTTTTCTTTTTTTTTACCCATCTGAGTCACTGAGTTGTTTCATGTGTGGGACTGGGATGGCATACCAATTACCAAGGTTGTGTTTGTGATTTTCAAAATATATATATATATATTTTAACTCTCTTTTCCTTTTCTGTATTTTGCATGTCACATGGATTGTCCTTGTAATGATTAGCGGCCCTTACCATTCTTTTCATAACCAGTAGTTCATTTTGTCATCACCAAGGGAGGCTTTCCCCTTTTGTCAAGTTAGGGCTCTTGATCCTTTTCATCACAACCAACCAACAAGCTTTATTTTCTTTGACCAAAAAAACAAACAAGCTTTGTCTCCTTTTGACAAAGAACACTTGGTCCTTGATATGTAGTTTCTCACAACCAAGGGGGCCTTAGTTCTTTTCCAAGAATAAAAAACAAGTAACGATAGTAACCAAGGGGAACTCGGTCGTATTGGTCATGATCGAGTCCCCTTCATCACAAACTATGGCCATGTTCCCTTCATCACAAACTATGGCCATGTTCGTAGTGCCTTCATCTAAGTGATGGTCGTTGGTATGTGTGTGTTTCAAATGACTTGTTCAGGGCCTAATTCAAGAGAATGAGATAACACACTATTTTGCTATTTCCAACTAATCACATTACGTCATGTGAAAAAGGTATCACGTGTGAAGCAATGTAATTGGTTGGTAATAGCAAAATAGTATTACCTCTCCGTGATATACAAGTTTTCGCCTAATTGAAATTGATTATGACTATAGTGTTGCATCAAGGATGACTCGTCAAAATGGATCATAATGACAATGTTTTTGTCCAAAGTGGATCACGATGGTGCAAACATGAATAATAACGTGATGTTACCGTTCCATCCAAATACCATTTATTATACCGTTCTACTAAAACATCACTTATTTGTACCGTTCTACTGAATACAACTCATTTCACAGAGTCCGCATGTATCACAGCTCCGCTGAAATATTACTCGTTAGGATGCGTGGTGAGATCTAAAACACAGATCTGAATCTGATTAAAGAACAAAATCTGAATTTGAATTTAATGTAATTTTTCTTTTTAGGTGAATAATTAATTGAGAATTTAAAATAGACACGTGTCATGGCCACTAGTGCGTGCACCAACGGCACGACAGATCAAATTCTTGTACTTCCTTATCCACCATTTTGTTGTGACCTGACTTGTGTGTGAGAGTCTTCTTCTGAGTCGGTCTTTGAGTTCGATTCGAGTGAACAACAAGAACGAAGGAAAGCAAGAAAAGATGCACTTAAGTGAAAATGAAGGCATAGAAGGGAACACTTTTGTGGTGACGGGTGGGTTGGGGTTTGTGGGCTCCGCACTCTGCTTGGAACTGCTTCGAAGAGGAGCTCACCAAGTCCGAGCCTTTGACCTCCGAACGACCTCCCCTTGGTCCGCCAATCTCCGCCAACACGGCGTCCACTGCGTCCAAGGTTCGATCCATCTTTCCAATTACTCATTACCCCTTTGCTACGCCTTTCAAATCCATCCACTTCCTTCATTTCAATTGCGTTTTCTCTTTCAAGTTCAATTTTTTTTTTTCACTTGGGTATATTGAAATTCTCAATTTTTTTTTTCTGTAAATATTAATAATCAGTAGTAATAATCATGTAGGGGATGTTACCCATAAAAAAGATGTTGAAAAGGCTCTGCGTGGAGCAGACTGTGTGTTCCACCTTGCTTCATATGGAATGTCAGGGAAAGAAATGCTGCAGTTTGGTCGTGTTGATGAGGTCAATATAAATGGAACCTGTCATATATTAGACGCTTGTCTCGAGTTTGGGATCCGAAGGCTTGTTTATGTGAGCACATACAATGTTGTGTTTGGGGGAGAGGAGATTGTCAATGGGAATGAGGCCTTGCGCTACTTCCCCATTGATAACCATGTCGACCCGTATGGCCGTAGTAAATCAATTGCCGAGCAGTTGGTCCTCAAGTACAATGCTCGTCCCTTGAGGTAAGTACTTTTAATTGAAATTGTTCATATGCCTTCTTTAAGTAAGCATTCCACAATATATGTTACTAGGGATATTCTAGTGTACTTGGAATTGGTGTGTCGTAGGATATGCGTGCGAGCAAACTAGTGAGGGAAAAGTGTTTGTTAATAGGGTCATTCTAGTGTACTGGGAATTTGTGTCTTAGGATACATGGGCTGGATTCGTACAAAAACTTTTGTGTATGTGAGCACAAGTGTGAGTAGTATTAAATCGTGGTATTTATACCAGCCGAAATGTGGAGTTATCTTTGTTGGTAATGACACTGGCTATTGTTTATGGGTTCTCATCCGCCATATTTAGTTTGTCTTTGCATTAATTGTATATTATTGAGATGTGGTTGTTTCTATGCTTTATAGGAAGAAGAGTGGGAAGTGCCTTTACACCTGTGCAGTTCGTCCAGCTGCTATCTATGGTCCGGGTGAAGAAAGGCACCTTCCAAGGATAGTGTCTCTGGCAAAGTTAGGCCTAGTTCCATTCAAAATTGGCGAAGCAAATGTAAAAACAGATTGGATTTATGTCGATAACCTAGTACTTGCACTGGTAATGGCAAGCATGGGACTTTTGGATGACATTCCTGGGAGAGATAAAGAAAGACATCCCATAGCTGCTGGTCAGCCATATTTTGTATCTGATGGTAACAATGCAACCCTTACTTTACCTTTTTGAATTTAGTTTCTTTTTGTTGTCATATTATTAACTGGAATTTGCTAGACACAGATTATCGAACTATTCCTTTGACATAAAGAGTAGTATCTGAAAAGTAAAAGGTGAAAACCAACCTTTCTTACAGGGTCTCCAGTCAACACCTTTGAGTTCATCCGACCTCTGCTGAGAAGCTTGGATTATGACCTACCAAAGGCCTCCTTGTCTGTACCTCGTGCTCTTTCTCTAGGAAAGGTTTTTTGGGCAGTCTATACTATCTTGTATCCATGGTTAAATCGATGGTGGCTTCCTCAGCCATTGATCCTTCCTGCTGAAGTATACAAGGTTTGCTTAATCCTTCCATTTTTAAGTTTTGGCTGTATTGGAGATATGCATGTGGCAGTTCTATCTTTATCCATTCACTGTTTTCCCCTCTCAATAGAAACAAAAATTTCTGCAATGTGGAGAGTGAATATAATTACGGTTGAAGCCGGAAGGCTTTCCATCTAGCATACATGATTTCCCTTTTTTTTATCCCTGTAAATCAAGATATCCTTGATCAAAGTTCCCGATGCACTAGACCGTATTTACTTGTTTCACGCCTTGAGTGATATTGTGGCCGAGCTCTTTTATCTCACTGTTGTGGTGAGCTCCTCTATTCCGATTCACAGTTTCTCTGAGCTATATGGTTCCTCTGGGAGCGAAATCAAGCTTCAAGAAATAATGTGATTCTAATCTTCTGAGAAAAACCATCAATCATTGCATTTTTTTTATGGATATAAAGTAGAGCTTCATGTCATCTCTGTCAACATTTGTTGAATCTCTTGTATAAATTACAGGTTGGTGTTACCCATTACTTCTCTTTCCTTAAAGCAAAGGAGGAGCTTGGCTATGTCCCAATGGTGACTCCTCGAGAGGGAATGGCTGCTACGATCTCATACTGGCAGGAGAGGAAAAGGAAAACTCTGGATGGGCCTACAATATATGCATGGCTATTTTGTGTGCTTGGAATGGCCACACTATTCTGTGCTGCTTATCTGCCAGACATTGGACCTGTGCCACTCTTCAGAGCTATTAGCCTCTTCTTTCTCCGGTCAACGAGAGTAGTTAGGACAACGTTTCTCCTAGCTGCAGCAGCACATATTGGAGAGGCTGTATACGCGTGGAAGCTGGCAAAAAGGGTGGACCCTGCTAACTCAAGAGGATGGTTTTGGCAGACCTTGGCTCTTGGGTTTTTTTCATTACGTTTTCTGTTGAAGAGAGCACGGAAGGCAAGAGCTCCTCGTCACTAATGCGTGCCTGTAGTAGTGTTCATAGAATTTTATAAGATAGTGGTTTTATGCATGTTCTGTATGAGAGAACATGGTTTTATGTACGTACAATACAATACATGTGTCTGTTACAAAAGGGTTGAAGCGATGTTTCTCACAGTTTCAAAGTTTCCAGAGATGGAAATTCATACGTTTGATTATAGTTTGGTTCGTTACTTAAATATCCCAAGCGATTTGGCACTCCCAGTTAAATTCTAACACTCTAATTGAGCATTTTATTTTAATATTTTTATACAATTTGGAGTGCCAAAAGGTAAGGGCCTCGTCGCTCAAGTGGTTAAAGAGCAATTACCCATGCACTCAAGGTTCTAGATTTGATTCTCCCTTCCCCCAATATAACTTGTATTCAAAACCAAAAACAAAAAGGTCCCAAAAGATAAAGTGAAACATCATTTTTGTTTCTCATGGTTATGGAGAAACATAAGCAAATTTATTTAAGTGCAAAACTTAGTTGCGATAATTGCTGATTTAAGTTCTGATTTGGTATGCATTTAGAGTATCGCAGATAAATGCTAAGGGCAGACGCAGGCAACTTTTAACCGTAGATGCTTGTTGATCTCACTGCACGAAAGACTATATACTACAAAAACCAGAAACCCAGAAACAATGGCGAAGACTTTCTCTGAACTCAGCACCATAGGTGATAAACATATCCATATTTGCAACAGTAACAAATGGAGTTACATGGGCATGAACCAAGCAAGACAGGAAAAAGAGAAAAATGAAAGCAACACCATGACCCAAAAGAAGAGATTGTTCTACAAAACAGAATGGTTAGAATCAAATTGGCACCATTAGAGAAAAAGGTGAAGCTGAGCATATCTGAAGTAAGGGTCTACAAAGATTACAACAAGCCAACACATGATAAACAACTAGATCACCAACTCATCCTAATCCTACCAAGTCCTAAAAGCACAAGGCTTAATCTAATTTCTATTTCACACACACCTCTTGTTACCTGGTTGACACTTTCAGCTGCCCACATCCTATAAGGTCAAGCTGTAAAGTATTATACAGTTCTTATTCTACTAAACATACATTACACAAGGTTGAAACTACGACGGGGTGCCCTCGAGACTCCGAATAAAGTTAAAAAACACAACATTGCTGATCCTGATCTTGCCTACTACACAAATTAGTGAAAAGGCTGGAGTTATGAAAGCTTCACTTCCATGGCATGCTTGACATGCCTTGCGGGTTACTGTTATTGCAGCCTCCTGTACTCTGGTTAAGCGGACTTCCAGGTCCGCCTGAAGATTCACTGAGCGTTCCGCGTGACTGGGGGCTACTGGCCCCTGTTGGCCCGCTACTCGGTGCAAGTTTTGGTGCTACAGGCTCCAATTGGTTTGCTGTCTTTGATTCTTTCCTACCATCTGCAACAAAGCTCCCCACTACTACCTGCAATGGATTTTGCAATCGTAAAATCATTGTTTCTATTACGTTCAATCATATGAAGACGCTGTATCTGGCAGTGCTAATACTGCTGATAAATTCCCTTTTCTCAAAGAAACAAATATAGGGCCTGTCCAGTGTTAACATCACAGTTCATAGACCCACACATACTGTGGAAAATCTTCTGAACTTAAACTAATAATTTTCGCATAACAAGTTAAAAATAAATAAATAAAAATGCGCACACACAAATAACTGTTTGGGAAAAGTTGAAAGAAATGTACCTGAACAGGGGAGGCAGCTGTCAGAAGACCTGCCACACCACCACCTAAAACTCGACCATCTGGGCCAGATAATGACACACTTAAGCCCCCAGTTCTACTCCGCTGGCCACTACTTTCAGATAGAAGAAATGAGCCAGAAAGTGTTAGTATTTCAAACCTCCCCTGCATATGAAAATTCATAAGAAAACAGGAATTAGCAGAGAATAATTCATAGGTAGAAAATATACATAAAATGAAGCCGACCTCCTATCGTAATTACCAAATGATTAAGTAACAAAAAGTTCATGATAATTACTCGTGTTAGGTCAAGGGAAATTTAAACTAGTAAAAGCCGCAATATGAGAAACAACAAAAATCACTACTGTAGCCCCCTAGAGTGCTTTTCTTCACAGCGTTGTGGAGTATATGTAAACTTTAGCTGTTACCAACTTCACCACCAAGCTTTTTCTTTTCTTTTGACACAATTCAATTTCAATCCTAGAAGGACTTGGAGTAACTTTTCATCCTGTCCATACTCCCAGAGGATAACTATTGAGGCCCGACATACTTTCAATACAACCGCATGAAAGAGTCAGCACATCCTATGCAACAGTTCAACTTCAATGCAAGGGAAGGCCAACAGACAGGTAGCAATCTCACAAACCTCATATGTTACAGTTCCACCAGATGTGGCCGGTTGGCGAAGAGTCACATTAGAAATGGCTCCATTTGCAGACAAGATGCAAACAGCCCTAGGACCATTCTGAGAAAATGACATTATTTTTGCCGATACATCCTGAAAGATTAAATGCAGTAAAATAAAATTTCAACACTGTAATCAACTAGAAAAATGATGAGTCAAATTCAAAAGTTGATAATATGAAACACATAAGAAGTTGGAGAATATGGAAACTGCATACTATTCAGAGTAAGAGTGCAGTGATGTTCAAACAGGGAAGAGCAGTAAAAATAAATAAAAAATTTAAAGAAAGAAGGGGAATTAGAAACCTCTCCAGCTTTTACAGTGATAACATGTGGCAAAAATCCAAACCCCGCAGATCCTACAAAGAGGAAAACAAATAAAAACATAGCACCGTTATTATTATACAGTAATTTGCAGGGGGGAAAGCAACATCAAAATTGAATTCTTGAAAAGGAAACAATAAAACAAGATCCTTGCCACTGCAAGCAGGCATCTATGAGTTATATAAGGAATCAAATAAACAATTTTGTCTTACCACTTGATGGTTGAAATAATAAGATTTAAGCATGGAAATATCATGAATAATCAAAGGTTCAATATCTTTGAGCTTACAGCATCTGATTGCAATACAAGAACCAAGGGCAGATAAGTAATTTTGAAACATAAGAATCTCAAGAGACACTGAACAGAACCTCAGTTCCAATACCCTTTTCTATTTCATAGTCATCCACGAATATATCCCTTTCTCTTAAATAAAAAACAACGACCACTTCATTTTCTGTCAGAAACCCAAATGGGTGGGAACAAGAACCTCCAATAGAGAAGATAGTAAGTAAGAAAAAAAACTAAGACAAAGTAACATAAAAATAGAACTTAGTTGATCCCGGTATGGGAATAAGTCAAAGCCACTGTTGCCTTAAAACCCAACGGCTCACTCAAACGTAGAAAAATCACCACGCGACAGACATGGGTAAACGCAAAAGAAAAACAATAGCAACATCAAAGACACAGAAGAACGCAGGTTTAAAACGCAGCCCACAAAAAATTAAAGCAAACCCAATTAGATTCAAAAGATTTGTGGAAAACCCAATTAGAATAATAAAAGGAAAGAAGCGTTACCGAAAGCATCCAATTGTTGCTTCTTGGTAGAACCAGGTGGTCTGCCTCTGGCTTTCTTGATGGAAGTGGGTGAAGCAGAACCTACAGATGGAGGAGGAGGATGAGGAGGAGGAGGAGAAAAGGCTCCACCACTGGACTGGGTTACGGTGACAGACGCAGCTGAAGGTGAGAGAGCCAATGCCATGGTGCCATCTGGCCCATACTTCCTGGGCCTCCCTCTCTTCCGCTTCATTGGCTCCC